ATCGGCCGTGCGTCGGCCATGAAAGGCCAAATAAGGCGTGTCACGGCCGATGGTGCGGGACACACCAAATTGAGTTTGGGCGACAGGACACGCTTTGTCGTCCGACTAACGAAAACGGCCGATTTCGGCCATGTGTGTCCGGGCCTTTACATACCAAACTGACACCAAAGAACACCAAAGAACATGTCTTGACGGAACGTCGCCTCACGTCTCTGCGTCTTGGCCATGTGTCCCACTGGAACACACAGCAAAGACTTCAGCCGACGGCCAAGAAGCACGTACGAACTGCGCATGCGTGAGTGGCAATAACTCTCCTTACCAGCAGGCGGCGGTAGTGTGTATTCTTCATTCAAAAGAGGCAACAACCGGAAGACAGACTGCGTGATAACCGAGAGAAGAAGAACAGACTGGGTGATATAAACAAACAACAAATAGCGTGTGCGTTCCATTTTCACTCTACAGCGAGAAGCTCATGGGGCTTCCCGAACCTGTGTCGAGAGCTGGAGTTAAATGAAATCTCAGCTTTGCCTTCTTAATAGTTTTTTTGGGTCCCTCACTTCCGTTTCGCTTCTCATGCTCTGATTCGCTAAGCTGAACAGCCAACCAGAGTGATTTATTTGGCCGATGGCCTTTGGCCACAGCCTACCGATTCAACATGTCGAATTGGCGGCGGAAGGTGTCGGCATGGCCGAAAAGACATGACGGTGCAGTACACACCAATCTGAGTAGGGAGATACAACGCTTATCCACGGCCCGACATCTATCGACATCAATCGGCGCCGAAAATTGGCTCGGTGTGTAAGGACCTTAAGATGTCCAGTATACATTTTGAGTTTTTTTGTTTTTTTTAAGCTTTTTCAGAGAACAATGTTGAAGGTGTGACGTCATTCTCCTTCTGACATATCCACCATGTAGCAACACATTATTATTTCTACTGTATGGAGTATGTGCTGGCTTTGTGTTTCATATACTGTTCAGTTTTACAGTATATGACTTAATGGAGTTTTTAATGTGTGTGTTTTTTTGGTCAGTTCAGGTTTGTGTAGGATGCTCAGCCACCGCAGATCTCAGCTGATACACACCTTCCAGCTGTGTCCAAAGATGTTAATGTGGTTAGCCAGGATGCCATCCGGTTTCAGTAAGTCATCACCAGGTCTACCATTGTAATTTCCACACAAGCCTGAAAAAAAACAAGATACACATTACACCTTAAAAAAAACCTTATGTTGCAACTTTTAAGAAGAATGAAAACTCTGTAGCTTGAATGGTATATAAGCCCACTCTTTCTCTACTGCAGGGGTGGACTGGCCACTGGGAATACCGGGAGTTTTAGCAATTCACCCCCCCCCCCCGTTGACAATTGACTAGCGGTACCGAGTTCGGCCGGTCGAGTTTCCCGGGCCGATTTTTTGTCCTAGTCCGCCCCTGCTCTATAGCACTGTAAACACAATGGTATCTGTGCAGGCTTTCAGACTGACGGGTAGCCCGATGGCTTTAAAAGAAAAAGCTGCAAAGGTAGAGCAGAGTTTAGGGACGCTAGGATCATGTTCCAGTCATATCTGACATTCAGGCCAAAGTCAGTGGTGAGGGTAGCATAGGCTCCACTCTGCTTCACAGAGACCTTACCCCCCCAACAAACTGGATCTGCTCATTATCTTAATAAAGCTTTGGGGGGCGAGCAACAATCTGAATTATCTTAGCCCCTGACCTGACATCTGAATACATTATGCCACTGTTTGCTTCATACTGGGGGGTAAACCACCCCCAGCAGTGATGCACCGTAACTCACCTCCTGTAGCTGAAGAGTATGTGCTGGGCAAAGTCAAGCTTACGTAGCTGTTCCAGTTGAACCTGAGCGTCAAACCAAAATATGTTGTCACCACGCCAAAGTAGCCTTGCCGGTACAGGGAAAGCTTTCCATCCTCCATGGAGTAAGGCAGGTTTACAGGCTGGCTGTTGACCTGGGGGGGGGTGTTTGTGAATTTAGATTTAATCATTGAATCCGTTTAATATTCAGTGATTTTTCAGCAAATTTCACAAAATTCAAACTCATATTTTCATTTTGTGAGATGCAAATACGTGTTTGCATCTCACATATTTATCTATTATTACAACATTCTCTTGCACTATCATTTCTCTACTCTGTTTCTTCTAGCACAATTTTTATTGTTTTATTATTGGTTTTATTGTTTTATCTCTTACATATGTTTATGTTGCATTGTTGGAGGAGCTTGGGATTTTCATAGCTGTGCAATAAAGCCTTTGAACTCTGAATATTACTGATATGTTTGGATTTGCGTTACTGTCATTTCCCCCTTATATCCTGCAGGAGGCGGACTGATCTCACCAGTATTTTCCCTGCGTTGCCACGACTCATGCTGACAGTGATGTCATCAAACACAGTCAGAGACACGGACTTGGTGTAGGCCACAGCCTTGTTACGCCCTCGGTTCTCGTTCTGGACCAGCACCTGGAACCGCTCCAGATCCTTGTCTGATCCCTTGATGATTTGAGACAGGACATAGGTACAAGTGCCCTGGAAATCAAAGCGCCGTTGGTCAAAGCTTCGGTAGTGGGGGTCTCCGGTGCCTTTGCATGTTGCAAAGGATGCTGGGTAGCAGTTCCTCACTCCCTCCTTCAGAGCACAGAGCTCATTCTTCTTACAGGTGACTGATTTGCACTTCATCAGCAGGAGAGAACAGAGTACAATATTAGAATACAGTGGAGGAGATGAAAACTAGCAACACAATGATGTTGCACAGACACACACACACACACACACACACACACACACACATTCTGGGGGCGCTAAAACACTAGTGAGCCCGGAAAAATGTGTGTCCTCAGAGTGAAGGTGCGTTGTCATAAAATGATTCTTTTTTGTCATGACACAAACACACACACACACACACACACACACACACACACACACACACACACACACACACACACACACACACACACACAATCACCAACCTTGGCTTTCCCTCGAATGCATTCACACTTTGTAGTGCAGGTGTTATCAGCCCAGAAAGCTTTGCCTGGTGGGTAATAACTGCCTTTATGTTGGCATCCACATCTTTTCTGAGGAACACATCTGAAACACACACCAAATGTGATATATTTATGTTTGTTAGATTTAAAATGTTTAGGTGCTTTGTTGGCTGAAGCCTGCGATCTAAGATTTGTATTCCCAAAACTGCTTCTCTGACATTGCATAGGAGGATAAAGAACTTGGAACTTGATTAAACCAAACATGTATAAAACATTCCTGCTATGCTATTAATTTCCACTGCTTCGAAATAACCATATCTGTGGTTATGCATGTTCTAGCACATTTACTACAGATCAGATGCTTTCCAAGGCACTAAACCCCACTGTGAGTAAAGTTAAGATCACAAAGAGCCTGTTTCCCCCCAGAGAGTTTTTATGAATCAATCTGGGATCATGGGACACCAAACAGTAAACTATTCTACCAATGGCCTGCCTTGGTGTGGTTATGTTATGGAATAGCGTAACATCATCTTGCAGTAAGTTTGTTTATTCATAAAGAATGTGCCCCGTAAGAAGGTGTTTAGTTACCTGTCTCCACTAATCACCAGGCCTTTATCACACTGGCAGCCCTCCACACAGGGGTCCTTACACTGCGTCTCACTGTGTGGATCTGAGCACGAGGCAGGGCAGGAGGGGCCGCACGCCTCATAGTGGCTGCCCTTTGGACAGGAGAGGACTGCGAGGGGAGGGGAGATCATTATTCATCATTATCATATTTGAGCTCATTGTTCCCCTTAAATCTAAAACAAAACAACATCATACAATTATTAAACAATATGAATGTTTTTTTAAAAGGTTTGAATAGTTCATTCATGATTGGATTAGACATTTATGTTTCCATCCTGTAGGTTTTATTTCCATAGCTAACAGATCAACACGTGACTGCACATTTGTTCAGGAATGAGTCCTTAAACCTGGAAATGAGTTAGCTTTTGAGTGATTCCTGGTTCCCTGGTCTGGAAGTCAATGGTTTTTTGAACGTGCTTTTGGTTAAATGCCTTAAATAAGATCTGTGGTTAATACAAGCTTCAGATACTTGTTCTAACACATACAACGTGTTTAAGTATCCTATTGGTGAATCATTTAAGCTTTTACGTGTTTTTCTACAATATCTGGGGTTCCTACCAGCCAGTCAGAACTGAATATAGAAAAACTGAAAGCAAAGTCACCCAAATTCTCATTATTTCCACAAGTTAATTCTTAGGTTAGTATATTCCCGTTTAGTAATAAGAATTAGAAGTTTATAATAACAACTTTACCGTATAGGATTCAGATGATAGGACTGCGTGGTTTATCATAAGTTTGGCACCTAAAGTTATGACAGTGTTCAAAAGTGACTTACAGCATTTGGCAACCATTCTCCACTCAGGGTTGACTTTCACTCCTTCTGACTGACAGGCATCACCATAACTCTTCAGGTTATCACAGAGAACCCGCCTTGCACCTAGACAAACACAGACCCTTTATTATTTACAGAGAAGAACCACAACAAACAGACGAGTGAGTCCCCACAGTCTAGGTACACAGGCTGCAGCACACACACACACACACACACACACACACACACACGTGGACAGAACAGTGTGCTTAGATCAATGATGGCATGTCTACTGTTTTTATGCTTTAACTGTTCAGAAACATTTTGGTTCGCTGTTTGCAACAGTGAGAATTTCTTTATTTGAGTTTAGTTTTAAAGTTGAGCTGTATAAATGTAAGCTTAACAAATAGAGGTATCTTTATAGGCTATTTGTTTGCATTCAATGCATATCGATAGGATATTTAAATCCTCTTTTAGTCATCACACACATATACACAAATTTTAAGAACAAATTAGTCACTTTTAACCCATGGTAGTATTAGGAGCAGTGGGCAGCCACTATACTAACTAAAATCAGTATAAAAAGTCATTCAAATTAGTGCCACCATTACCAGCTGTGATAAACCCATAAATGCATCAATAATTAGTAAGTAATTGAATATATACTTCTAAGTTTTCGATACATACATCTACACTTTTCATGTCAGCATAACTCATCTGTGAATGTTTTTGTGTATTCTGTCCCAAAACTGTTAACATACTCAATTACCGGCTTACCTTTATTGACACAGACATCATAGACACAGTTGTCCAGGTACATAGAGGGGTCCACCTGTTTGTGGCAGGCTGAAAAAGATCCACTGGCCTCTGTCAGGACCCCACAGAGTCTGGGCAGACGGAAGTGGGCCTGCTGCTTTTCTGAACACTGAGGACAGCGACCAGCGCAGTTATCATCACAGAACCGATCTGAGTCCTCGGCCTTCCACTTCCGGATCATTTTCAGCACAGTAGGGACACTGGAGTCTGCCACAGACAAAAGGAATGCAGTTTCAGAGAGTTTCTTATCTGACTCAAAACAAGAGTTTTTAAGGCTTCAACACAAATGTAATTCTTAACATTCCTGTAAGTGAGTGTTTCGGCATATCCAACACAGAATGGTTGATTTGATACTTATACAATAATGTATCTACCGCCAGGAATGTCTTAAAGTGTAATTCCAATCGCTTAAGAGTGGTGCAGGAATGAGTCCTAAACCCGGATATGAGTTAGCATTTTTAACACTTTTGGGTTCCCTGAAATAAGGTCTGCAGAAGTGGTTTTCAAGTTGAGTTCCACGACATGAAATTGATCAATAAATACCCCACTGGGGTGTGTTGAAGCTTTTACGTTTCTTAAAAAACGTTAGTCAACCAGTGTCTGAATAAGTGAAGTTGTGTCCAAATGTGGAGATTATCCTGCTGTAAAAGATGTGTAAGTATCATAAACAAATATTTCCTTCTGCAATATTCAAAACTAAAAAAAAATGCTTTTTGTCAAGGGACCCCTTGCAAAGCTAACTTCTGGGTCCCCTGTCAAAAATGCTGTCGGTCTTCACTGCACCACCCTGTTGGATGTTGGAAGTTACATTCAGACCACATGGGACTACTGGCTCCACCCAAGCGGCTCTCCTCCTACAGGGACCCTCACCCTTTGCTTCTGGCAGGTCATCTGTCATGTCTCCATTGTAGTTTCCACAGAGGCCCCCCAGGTGTTGGTGGTAGGACGAGGGTACTGTGATGTACAGCCTCATGTTCCAGTCATATCTGACATTCAGGCCAAAGTCAGTGGTGAGGGTAGCATAGGCTCCACTCTGCTTCACAGAGACCTTACCCCCAAACAAACTGACAGGCAAGTACTGTAACTCTCCATTGACCTGAAGGTAATAACACAACAACACTTAGAACAAGTTGTAACACTGCTTATGAACAATAGTGCAAACTGGAAATGCATTGCAACACAAGATCAGCGGAGAGAAAGCTGTATGTAGTCATGTGAAAAGCTGAGAGAACTGAGAACCAAACTGCAATCAAACATTGTAGCAATCACGCAGATAACTAAAAGTGTTCTTGCAATAGCAACAAAATAAATAAAGTGATACATTAATACAAAATATTATTATATTAATCATGTTCTTTTTTGACAAAATAATTAGGTTTGAGCTGTTTGATTTTCGTTTTCAGAAATGTCCCAAGAAAATTGGAGAATAACTCACCAAAAATATCTAAATACAGATAGGTTGGCATGAATATTCAACATTGGTCTGGCTTGCTACAAGTCTTTCTATAGTCTATTGTACTCTCAGCCTGCTTGTCTGTGTATTTGAACTTTGATGATCACAAAGTGTTACCTCCACTTGTGACCTGTGTCGGCCGATGGTGATGTTTTGCTCGTAAACGGTGACTCCAACAGTCCTCACAAATGAAACTCGGCGGTTACCTCGGTGGTCATTCTTGGTCGTCACAGTGAATTCCCTGAGGTCAGACGCCTTCTTTGCAACTGTTGTCATAATGTATGTGCAGGTACCCTGTGAGAAAATATGAAGTTTGCTTAACTTTTGGACACTTCATCTTATAAAGCCCCCAGGTGAGTTGGAATCATATCACCGGTACTGGCTTATCCAGCAGACATGCAGAATAACAAAGGCTCCATTCTCACAATTTATGAAGAGGATTATCCATGAAACACAAGATGCTGGTGTGCCTATTAAAAGCTAAACAAACTGTGCAATTGCAGCACTCTAGAAGGTTTTCAGTTTGAAAACCTTCTAGAGTGTTTGATGTGAGTTATGTAAGGCAATGTGTGATGAATGGCTACAATATAATGTGTTGCTGAGACATGATTTTAGTCTTATTCAGTTTAAGGGTTTAGTTAGGAGGCAAATTAATTACTTTAAATATTTTTCTTGTTTAAAGTTGTTATTAGTAACCATTAGTGTTGGGCAATGCTCATCTGATTAGCTATAATACACGCTGATCTTTGATACTGTGCAGCTGGCTTTTCTTTCTTTCTTCTTTTTCTGTATTTTGACGGAGTTTGGAAAATGGCCGTGGTTAATGTCATACCTTATGTTTAAACAGGTAATGTCGTATTTGCTAGCCTTATATTCAGTGGCAATACATTTATTGTGCATTTAGCATCAAGTTTTTTAGGTATGTATTTGGCAGAGTTTTTACAGCGGATGACGTCATTGGGGAGAGTTTGCCTGGAGCAATTGTTGTTGTTTTAAGTATAACAGGCTCTTAGTCCAATGGGACATATATGGAGTATTGGTTTGGGGGGGGGGCTGCTGGCAATTACAGAAAATAGTAATAATAATGTGTAGGAAATGCATAGGAAGTCTCAACAACAAAATGGGCATTTTCAATGATATACACACACATATGAATGCATGAACATTATTTATCTTTCTCGAGTAATGGATTCCTAGCTCCTACAGAGGCAAAGATTACTGCTCATTTTAATAAAATATTTCTCATAGAAGTTGTGTTCTTGGTTTATGTTCGGTGTGTCAACAGAATATACCAAGAGTATGATAGTGAATGGCTGCTGATGAGGGGTCAAGATGTTCCAACCTGGAAGTCAAAGCGTCGGCCATCAAATGTGCGGTAGTGGGGGTCACCGACCGCACGGCAGGTTGCTGTAGAAACGTGGACACATTCTCCTTTCACACAACGTTCCTTTACTCGACATTTCACCTTTTCACAAGGGTCCGGTGGAGGTGTGGGAGGGGTGACACCTACAGAAAATACAAACACACCATAAACATAAACACATGGAAGAATATGTAATCCTGCCATTCTAATGTGTTTAACTCGTCACATATGCACTATAACTCATCAATTTCATCCCTTTCAGGCATACATAAAGTGATATGACTTGTAATATAAATATACTTATGCGTTGTACAGCATACATGTAGAAATAGTGTGTGTGTGTGTGTGTGTGTGTGTGTGTGTGTGTGTGTGTGTGTGTGTGTGTGTGTGTGTGTGTGTGTGTGTGTGTGTGTGTGTGTGTGTGTGTGTGTGTGTGTGTGTGTGTGTGTGTAAGGGAATCTGTGTGTACCTTCAGAACAAACTCCTGCAATGCCGTATGAATGGCGGTGCTTCCCTCCATAGGCGTACACTGCCATAAGGGCGTCCCCCTCCACCCTCACATGGCTCTGCTGATGCCCCACATCTACATTGGACCACACCCAGTGCTTGTCCGTCAGGAGGCTACTCCACCGAGGTGATATGCACCTTCCTGACCAACACACCTTCACACTGGCTGCCCCCTCCTTCTCTGACAGAATGGACACAGTATTCAGAAGCCCCCCCACTGTCTCCACCGCCCAATCAGTGGACAGCTTGCATGTAGGGATCAGCGTTATCAGGAAAGGGTCATATGGACGGTTGTCGCTGAGAAGCAGCACCATTACTTTCTTGTTGCTCTTGACAACCAGTGGACGTTTGTAGGTCAGTTTTTGCAGGATGACGTGTCCAGCTTTTGCGAGCTTCCTGTTGGAGTCATACAACTTAGTTATAGAAGTGTAGTTCACATCGGATACTTTAATTTACAATAAATACTTACAATTGAGATATAATATATTGTTCTCTTATAATATAGACAGTACAGGAAAAATAATGTTTTGACTAACATTAAAGTAAGTGACTAACTATATATATTATTACATATTATGTATAATAATATATCAAGATTACTCATTTACATTGATATATGTAGCACTGTCCAAAACCAAGGAGTAAAGAGTAACAACTAAATCAAAAATCACAATTATGCCTCTGTCTTCTCAAACAGGGACAAGTATTTTCAGGTCATATCTTCATGTTCTGTATTGACGACGTGTTTCTTTTGCTTGTATTTTTTATTTATTCGCAGCATTGTTCATCTATATGCTGTATGCAGTGATTTTTTTTTTTTTTTAGTTTGTGTTTTCTGTTGCATTGCATTAAGTTATCTTTGCCATTATGAAACTAGAGTCAATTGATATTTCCAAAAGTAATTATTACATGATATTTTTCCGTATAGTATTATGTGTTAGTTTGATGGATGGAAGGGTGTGTGTTGGATGTATAGGTGGATAGGCCTGCCAGCACACGGGTAGACCATGACATCTTTGGCTGTAGCTTCAACAGTATATTATAATTAATTCATAATGAACTTAACTGTTTTCTTGAGTCCAGAGTCAACTCAGTGTTGTCTTCAACAGCGACTATCACTGCCTGGTTTGTGGTCTTCATGCTGCCAGTCTTGGGCACCATGTAATCTTTACCCAGGCTGTGGACCGGGGGCAGCTGCTCATACACGTGTTCACAGAGCCCACCCATGGACAGACACTGGTGGCCTGCTAACACCGCTACAGGCTTCTGGGATTGGATCCTTGTGCCCGTCAAAGTTGTGTGACCTCGTAAAAGGTAAGATGCGTATGGTGCCAGCTGTATGGTCATCGCCTTCCCATGCTTCCACTTCTCATTTCTCAGTGACACATCAGCACCAGGTAAGATGGTGATCCTATTCTGGCTCTTGCCATTAACAATAGCCACAAGCTTGTCCATGCTCGGATTGCCTCCTGAGGGTGTGAACACGAAGTAGTCAGTACCTAGCTGCTCTGTGGGGGAAACCACGGCGCCATCTCCTGTGGCGAAGCGGCGGTTGAAGGAGACCACAGAGATCGCAGCAGTGGAGGAGATTTGAACCGCTGAGTTTTCATTAACAGATTGCTTCTGCAGCTCGGATCCACGTGGCAGAGAAACCCACTGGCTTTGACCTGCAGAGAGGCTCAGCTTCCTGGAGAATCTCAGTGAAGACACCTGTAGATGTTATGTCATGTTATATGCTGGGATGTGTTAAGGATTAACCAATTGCATTAGAACAGATTGGATGCTGTCTTTCATGGAAATGTGAAACAGCAAAAAAGTAATGATGGACTGAGCAGAAGACACAGTCAAGTTTTGCTTGAAATACAGTGCAAGAAGAAGACATACACACACACACACACACACACACACACACACACACACACACACACACACACACACACACACACACACACACACACACACAAGGGTTGAGTTGCATTTTAAACCAATATACGTGATGCTTGAGAAGGAATCAGGATACATCTACATAAAGTGTTGAACATCATGTGTTGTGCTTCATTTCCTAACACATATTGGCAAGTTCCATCGGCCACTTTTCTGTGTTTTATAATAGCAGCACACACTCAATTCTGGAAAAGTATTTACGCCCACCCCCACAGATATTTAACATCCAATGAACATACATTTGCCAATTCTAACTCTCAGATGATGAAGTAGGCCAATACGTTAATAAGAAAATATTAATTATAAAAAATAAAAGTGGAAACCTGGTCAGTGACAAATCGTGAGAATTCAGCTTTCTTTAATTTCCCTTAAAAAATATTTGTAGTTTTCAACCCAATTTTTTTTTCAAGGTTATTTGGAAGAGTTTTGAATAACCAAGATTCATCATCATATTACTATACTGTGTATAGAACCTTGGTTTATTGTGACATTTGCAAGTCCATCGCACTCAGCAAAATGCCTTGAGTGTGGCATTGAGTGGAACAGATCTAATGTTTGCCTTTGACCAGGCCTTGACTCTGTCCTCTGTCACTGTGGTTCAAAGAAGCTTTTACTCATTTATAAAGATAACTTACGTAAGTCCTTAGATTTAATCATCTCTAAGGACATACGTTAGGAATACATTGAGGTAGGTCCCATACCTCAATGTATATGAGATAACCCCACTATTGCCTCCCTCTGCAAGTCTCTTTTCTCTTTGCCTCTTTCATCCTCTGATGTAAACATTTGTATTTGTTTAGGATCTAAATCATCGACACACATTGCGGCATGAGCAAACTGCCTTTAACTAACATCTACTAAAGGTGGAGATGGGTAAGCCCACTGCGTGTGTACCCACAGACACACTTGATTTACTTTATATAATAGTATAAGCTGGGTATGATGCCTGTGTTACATGAATAATTAAAGCTCTCTAGTTATAGCGGAACAAAAGTGTTTACACAGACAGAACAGGCCTGCCCAAATGAGGTGTATCAGGACAGAGCTGGCTCTTAAACCATGATAAACATGAGAGACAAACAATGGTTTATCAAAATAAACTAATTTAACAGAAGCAAATTAATTTAAAAGCATTAACACGTGATCTGTAGAGCAGGGACAGACTGGGACTGTCAAACAGTCCTGGAGTCTCACCCAGCCCACAGAGATAAGAGCAGGGTGTGGTGCCATTTGATTAAGTAGCAGAGCGAAGCATGCATGACGCAAGCATGCATGACGCAAGCATGCATGCACGCGCATGATTGTGGCTTGTTTCGGGTTAAATAACAACTTTCCATTAACGCTCTGCAGCCACACAGCCACTGTTCAGTGTCATTAGATCTGCTGCTGCAGTAACACCACTCGATACCTGATATCAGATGCTCGGTCATACTTCATATGGATATGTCCGGCCAGGAGGGAGCATGAAACACAGAGCCCTCAGCAGCAGTGTCACAATGTCTCAATTTTAACTCACAATACTATCGCAGATATCTGGCCAGTAAAAAATATATGTCTGCATTAGCTCTGTTGCCTCTCAGTGTACAACTATGATGATGTTAAATTAAAGGAAAACAATGATCTATATTAAGTAATGCGTGCCAGCTGTCAGTTGTCCTGGACGACCGTCTGTGATATTCCAGAACACACAAATGGCCATCTGATGGAGTGAGAGTGAGATTACTCGTAAATAAAGGTGCATCAATGGCCTTGAATGTGTCTGTGTGCCAGGTCACATGGTGGGGCAACCTCTCCATCTACAAAGGCTTGGTCAAACTGCCCTTACCCCAGTGAACAGGGTTTATTGATATATGACTGTAGGCTAATATATACTGTATATATTGACCCTGGATTATTGTGACATTGTTGTTACCTTGTCACTCATTAAATTGCCTTTAGTGTGTAATTAAGAGGGGCAGCAGTACAAGCATAATTAGTAATAGTGGCTGTAGAATATGGTTATACAAGTAGCTATACTGTTGAGAGTAACACCAATATGACTAAAGACAGTTGTAGTGTTATTATTTTATACTAATAATGTTAAGTATCAGCAGATCACTGCAGAAGGAAACGAATATGCACTGACTGAGGAAGCCTACAACGTCTAAGACCATGTAAACATGCTTAAAGTTTCAAATATGGATGCCACTGCAAGCAATCGTAAAAGTGATCTCGTAAATGACCGTTAGCTACATGGCATGTCATATACATAGGCCATTACAGAATGAATGCATGAAATCGTATTAATTGATGGTGCAGAACAGTATCCAGTCCTCAGTGGTATAGGTACTGCAAAGTGATACATGCAAGCTCCAGAAACAGCAATCCTCAAACAAATTCAAAGATAAAAAAACGATAAGAAATACCCAGATTTTGAATGTAATGCTAATTACCAACATTTTGTATCAATAGTGATCCAAAAGTACATCTTTGCTATACTTTTGAGACAAATGTAGCAAACTTATAACTAAACATATTTTTCATTTTGTACAGAAGCTACCTCTATACTGTATAAATAGTGAAGTGTAAATAATATAAATAGTGATTGACCTTAAATCATTCCCTTCAGTCCTAGCTTCTGGAAACTATCTATGCTATCTCAGATAGGCTCCAGAAATGGTCTGCACTTCACAAACCTAAAAAGAATGTAAATAAGCCAAAACCCAACCAGATAATGTAATCCCCTGTAATAGTTCCCTGACAGCACAGTTCTGAGCAGAGCGGTGGTACTGTACCTGTAGCTGACCTGGAGAAGTGCTTTGGACGGAGGCAGGGTGGAGAGACTTATATGTGTAGGACATGATGCCGGTTGGATCTGGTTGAATGAAGGCATATTGCATTTTGGCGTGTTTGTGTTTGTTATGTAATTAGTGAAAAAATAACATTGATATGAAAGGTGGAGGCCTAATTTGGTGTTTGGCAATCTCACTCAATGATGTAATGTTATCTTTTCATCTTACCATGCTGTCACACTAATCCTTCCCCCACCCTGTTCTCCTCATCGCTCTTATTTGGTTCCAACCAAGATGATGTCATGTGTGTCTGTTTACTTTTCCAACGTAAGGTCCCCATGAAATAAGATTTCCTACATTATCACAGGAAAAATGTATTCCACAAATTCTTCATCCTATATAGATCACAGTCCCTATTTAACTAATTTTCGGACCAGTTGTGTTTAAAAAGGTGCATCCACAAAAGTCAAAATAATTGCTTCTGTATCAGACAGATATATATTAGAATCAAGCTGCATTTGTGAAAAAATACTGTACTTTACCATGCGCAGAGACCTTGAATTTATTTATGGGTTCAAAATAATTTGATAATATAAAAAGATTGTTTTCAACCAATTACTCCATCATCTTAACAACAATAACATTTTTGATACATTCCAGTCTGGCTATCGAACAAACCACAGCACTGAAACAGCTTTATTAAAAGTAGTGAATGACCTAAGAATGATAATCGATTCCAACAATGGAGCTGTCCTCTTTCTTTTAGATCTGAGTGCAGCATTTGACACAATCGATCACAGTATTTGAATGAACCGTCTTGAGAAATGGGTGGGTCTCTCAGGGACAGTCCTTGGATGGCTTCGCTCATACCTGTCTGTAAGGAAATTCTTTGTAAGTTTGGGAGACTTTGTGTCACAAACCTATAACATTGAATATGGAGTTCTTCAAGGAAGCATTCTGGGCCCTATTCTATTTTCATTATGCATGTTCCCGCTTGGCAATATCATAAACTATTACAGTGTGAAATATCAGTTACGCCGATGACACACAATTGTATATCTCCATTTCACCCCAAAACCCCGGTTCTGTAAACAACCTTTTTACCTGTCTTAATGTTGTAAATAATTGGATGAATGAATGATAACTTCTTAAATAGAAATGAGCAAAAAAATGAAATGTTACAGTAGGCCCAAAAGCAGAACGGCAGAGAGTAGAGTCTTTGTTTTCCAGCATTTCCAAATATATAAAAACTAAAGTTACAAATCTCAGGGTAATTTTTGACTGTGATTTAAAAAATGTAAGCCATTTTAACAAGGTTGCAAAAACTTCGTTTTTCCACTTAAGGAACATTGCCAGGATCAGACCATTTTTCACGATGATGCTGAAATGGTTGTACATTTTATTACTAGTAGCTTGGATTATTGCAATTCTGTTTACTGGTCTCCCTAAACAATCCACAAATAAATGGCAATTAGTTCAGAATGCTGCAGCCAAGATTTTAACAAACACACTAAGAAGAAACCGCATTTCTATAGAGTGCATTACAAGAACACTGGGGAGGCTGCTTTCTGTTTGTATGGCCCCAAACTGTGGAACAGCCTCCCATTTGATCTTAGAATGGCAACCTCAATTGGAATTTTAAAAAGTAAATTAAAAAGACCTATCTTTTTAATTTGGCTTATCATTTTTAGTAGTATCACTGTTCATGTTTTATTGTTTTTATATATTTTAATTATGTTCCAAATTTTTTATTGTAATTGTTTTTGTCATACTCTGTAAAGCACTTTGGGCTGCGTCAAGCATGAAAGGTGCTATATAAATAAAGTTTATTATTAATATTAGTTTACAAGTGACTTTAAAGATAACTTAGCCTAAATAAAATTAATATATATAAAATTACTGAAGTATCTTAGTCCCCAAATCACTACTGAAAGATCCCTTATTTGCAAGCTTTAACCCACACTTGAACACTTTTAAGGCTAAATGTGGGGACTAACTCCCCTGGGTGTCACTCAACTCCAGTGGCGGCCGGCCCACAGGGGGCGCTAGGGGGCGCCGCCCCACCTCTTCCCACATTACAAATTAAAATTAAAAAAAATTAAATTAAATTTTCTTTTTTAAATATATATTTTTTTAAATATATATTTTTAATTTTTAATGAACAAGGTAAATATTATATAATTGGTATCAGTAAAATGTATAATCTATAATAAAATCTCGTTTATAATGGTGTTACGATGTCTAAAGTTACTGATAAGTCACATGTTTCCTGCCTGGCCTTGCCCATGTATCATTACCCTCTCTCGTCTGGGCGCTAAGAGAGGAGCCCTCAACCAGTGCAGCAGCAGCCACTAGCAGCTGACTGTTGCTATCTGTAAGCTATG